ATTCCGCAGTGATGTCAACGTATAAATCTCGGGTACAAAATGGGCTGAAATGTCACATACGTAGTGGCCTGTCCTTCAATTACACTGTCTATGGCTGCGGGTTGTTTGGAAAGAAATCCTTTATGGAATTAGCTTGCCATTCGCGGTTAAGTTGGTTAAGTTTATTGTGTTTTACAATAAAATTGGATGCGAATTACCTTAGTATTTCTCATTTTTGCAAAAGTCCTGTTCAGTCAAAAAGACTCCACCTTTTGTTCTTGCAGCAAAAACAAGTTTCTATTTTTGCAAACGGTTCATCCATCTTTGATGCGGACCGTGAGAGTCCCACATAAATTATGCATACATCGTCTATACATCTTCATCATCCTTTATTTGCCTATATTTTTGCCAAATTTGGCCGCTTCCGCGTCAATATCTGTCTTGCGGAACGGACGTCCAGTTTTTTACTGTTCTCTCTACTTACAGTGAGGGACCTGATCCAATGGCAAAAAACGTCTCATTTTGCATCCAGGAAGGGACCAAAATGACTCCAAACCCTTCCCTTCTCTAAGCTAAACAACTCCGCTTTGAAAAGCGCGCCCTTTCCTTCAAGGCGGGCTCTTCAAATCGGGGTTTTTTAGCTTAGGGAGGGAAGGGTTTGGAGACATTCTGGTCCCTTCCGGGATGCAAAATGAGACGTTTTTTGCCATTGGATCCGGTCCCTCGCTGTATGTATATAACAGTTGTATTCCCAATTTCCGACATTCGAATTGAGGTAAATCTTCCGCTGGAAGAGCCAATTAGAAGCTTAGGTCCTTCAACGATATCCCATTGCCGGAGGATCTGACATTTGCATTTGTTTTTATATCCCTTGCGGATTTCGTGGTATGAGGCGAGTGCAGGGATTATGATGAGCAGAAGTTATCCGTTACAACCGCAGAGCCTTCGGCTTTACATTTATTATGTTTTTACATCTATTATGTGTACGAATTGACGGTTGAAAACGCTAAATGCTTTCGCATTTCGCAGGTTTTTGTAGCCAAAAGTTTGTCTATAGAAATGGAACGCCGTAGTCTTAAAACTTGCGTGCATAATGTAGGAAACAGCCTCTTTTTTGATTTGTAGAAATATAAAGTAAAATACATTATCATTTCATTATGCAATGGTAGAGAATAAGCTGAGTGCACTTTAAACCGCCTCACGTATAGTATTAAATATTATTACCTACAAAATTTCAACGCGTTGGCAGTCTCCTAATCCTCAGCGACCCACTTTATCCAGTTTTTGCCATCCGGCCTTGTTTTGTCTCCAAGTACTCCTATCCTCAATGAAAAGATTAGTTTCTGCATCCCTAGCCTGTGGGCGATGAGCATAGCGCCTGCAAAGCCGATGCCAGTCGGAATCTTGGCTGAGTTCTGTGCAGCTTTGCCATCATCTTGGCGGAGACTCGGCCCACCCTTGGCGCTTACAAAATCTTTCAACCTCCGCGAAGGGCAAGGCAAAGCAAGCAATTTTTTCGACAGTAATCAAAGTGGGTGTCGGATGTGGTTTAGCGTTTTCCAAAATGCCCGCAGAACTCCATGGTTCTTCTAGCCGCCCGCAAAGTGGTTGGCTCAGACTTTTCTCAATTTCTAGAAATCTGCGAAATTACTAGCACTTACAGAGAAATTACTCCAAGTATGACGCTCAGATTTTGATGAAACTTGGCACACATTTCGATTAAACTTTTTTATAACTTTTCGGATACTGCTAGCTTGCACTTTGCATAAAAGACCGCGATTTTTAGCTCGAAAGCTGTCGAAATTGTGGCTCAGTTATCCCTTCGGTAAAGTCATCAAAACTTTTCTGATAATTTCCTCTTCTGAAAACCCCAAAGTTTTCATTTCCCACCCTTTTCAACCGATTTTACAGACAGCAGACTGTTTACTAGTCTCTCAATTTGCAGACCTTTTTATGACTCATCAACAATTCCATGGCAAAATTAAACGGCCCACCGAAAACAAACAACCCCCACATTAGCATTTGCAAAATGTCACAGGACTGTTCTTTTTTTCTTGTTTACACCGTTCATCCGCTTTTTGTACTTTGAGTATATACATAATTAAACAAAGCTGCTCGAACGCCGCTTTCATTAAGCTATTTCGGGCTTATATGGCCATGTGCGCAATGAAACCGAGAGAAATTAAAAGTACCTTGGGCAATCTATCTTTCCAGTATTTTTACATTACTTGTGGCCGTGTCTTAAGACGTTCTAATTGAACTTTTGTGAACATCTGTTGGTCGCCCTTTAAGGCTTTTTTATTAACAGGGGAAGTACTCCAAGTCTGACGCTCAGATTTTGATGAAACTTGGACGAATTTAGAATAATTTTGTCTAGGACATATACGATTTTCAGCTCGAATTTTGCAGAGATGACATAGATTTTTAGCTCGAAATTTGGTAAAAATGTGACACTTTTTTTGTAAATTTTGACATGAAAAGTTTCATGCCTATTTCTACCGTAGAGGGTAATGTTTCGGCAAAAAAATATTTTTTTGGCGTGAAGTAGACTATTAAAACAAAGATCATTTTCTGTATGACCGCTCTCCGCGTTTCGCGTGCTCTCGGCCTCAAAGATCATTGAATATCTCGGCTGCCCCTGCAAAGCACGAGCTAAAATTTTCAGCAATTGATGTGTAGCTCATGCCCTGAGTACCTGTAAAATTTAAAGAAAATCTAAAAGTCGCACTTGGAGTACTTTTCCAAATTCCACGCAAAAGCAAACCCATTACAGGAAAGCCTCAAAAATTACTTTCTTATTCTCAGTAAAGTTACACCCAGATTTTGTAATGTTGCTCAAAAAACGGGATCTCAATGCTTACCACTCCCCATTCCAGCACTTTAATTTTACATTTCTGGCGTGCAATAAACTGAAAATCCTCCCTGCTTCTCGTTTGCCACGAGCATTATCCGTTGCTCTGGCATTCGGCCGCCGTTTAATCCGCCGCCGGCGCTAAGGTTCCAGTAAGGTTACACTGCCCGGTGTACACGGAATTAATGAGCGTTTACTCGATTCGGCCCGTTATGCATGTGTGCATATTGACTGCGGCGCATTCCTAAGCAGAATGGTCCCAATTTTTTACGGCCGTGTTTTGTTTTGATGCCTGAGGGCTTTTGATTGTCGAATTATTCGTGTTTTTGCATGGATGATGTAAATAGCATTATATTACAGACGGCGTAAGGAGATTTACGATGACCTCGAAGAGGTCATTTTTTCGCAGACATGTTTTTAGTATTATTGCAGACGATACTTGTGAAGTCAGAGGTAAAAAATGAGTTTTTTTTTTAGATTAACAGGGGTAGTATAGTACCCAAGTGCGACGCTCAGATCTGAATGAAAATCGGCACAAATTCTGAGCAATTTTTTCTAAGGTATACACGAGAATCCTAACTCGCGCTTCGCAGAAAAAACCGAGATTTTTATACCGAAAGTCGGCGAAAATTCGAGACTGTTCGAAGAACTTCGGCATAAAAAGCTTCACGCCTATTTCATAGCGTCATGTTTCCACAAAAAAATCACTTTTTTCGGAACAGCGGCAAAGCGCGAACTAAAAGTTTCACCAACTTTCAGAAAAAATTGATTTTTTATGGAAACGTTACACTTTGCGCCAAAAATGAGTATTAAATTTTTCATGCCAAAATTCGCAAAAAAATGCTAAATTTTTTCCAACTTTCGAACTAAAAATCTCGGTGGTCTCGGCCGCACGAAGCTAGTCTTGCACTTTAAAAAAATTAATCTAAATTTGTGTCCAGCTTCATCAAAATCTGAGCCTTTTGTTTACTCCTCCCAAAGTCTTGTTTTCCACGTTGTGTTTTGTTGTTTGGTTCCGAAATGAAATTTGATAATTTTATTTTCATTTTCTAGCCAAGACGAATAAAAACTTCCGTATCGCGAGTAAGTAATAGCCTCGGAACAGCCGAGATTTCCGGCTTGGTTCCACAGCCATGTCTAGCTGTGAATATTAATATAAGCCGATTTGAAGTCGTTATCAGTGTTATCTCTAACAAGTAAAAATTGAGAGAAAACATCCAATTTTTCTTCATTTTTCCGATAAATTCAGGATTTTCAAACCCTCCCACCCCATGGACCTGTTCAAAAAAAATTAGTTTTTTCTGTGACCGAGGACCTGAGGGAAGATTTGTCTTTGACTCACAAAGGCTCAAGACCGAGTATAAGAAATTTTGAACCGGACCGGGCCGGTAGTTACAGTAGGAGACCCGATCCAGTGGCAAAAAAAGCATGATTTTGCATCGAGGAAGTATCAAAAATGTGGCAAAATGCTTCCCTCTCCAAGAGAAAAAACTTCGTTTTGAAGGGTGCGCCCTATTTCCGTACAAAAAGAGCGGGCGCGCTTTTGAAATCTGAGTTTTTTTACTTGGAGAAGGAGGTATTTTGCCACATTTTTTGATACTTCCTGGATCCAAAGTGGAACGTTTTTTGCCACTGGATCAGGTCGCCCACTGTAACTAACTGCCCGGCCCGGTCGGAAAATTTTTTTATACTCGGCCTTGAGCCATTGCCAGTCAAAGACAAATCTTCCCTCATTTTGGCTTTTTCAAGAATTGATAAGGCCAAAAACAACTATTTTATTTTTACAATTTTCCCAAGACATTTCCAGTTAGTCCTTCAACCCCGCTTTTATCTTTCCGCCTACCACTTTCGGCTCGGCCAGAATTGTAGCCCTACTCATTGCTCATTGCCCTTACGAGGGCACAATAAATTTCAATTTTCATTTTATAATTTATTGTTACGTTTGTAATTTTCATAATTTATCTCTTTCTAATCCCATTAGTTTTGGGCCACATGATTTTAGTATTTTGGAGGCTCCAAGCCATCCAATCTTGTTGTGGAAAAACGTTGTCAAAGTTCTAGGGTTATTATGGGAAATTTAAGTGGTCACTTTATACAACTGCGTTTTTGAGCGTGCCAATTTTTGCCTTGTTTATTAGCCTGACCTCTAACTTGTTGTTGACGATTGCAGATGCTCGATAATGTCTCGAATTTCACGGAATACTACGATGACATTCCGATGGACGCAGGAGACGGTGAAATGAGTTTTCTGGCCCTCTTGTACCTCAGCTACATGCCGTTGTGTTGTTTGGTCGGGTTGACGGGCAATTGCATGGTCTACATTCTAATCAGGTAAGAGTTTGGATTTTTTAAAGCTCTAGGAATGTTATTTAGATCTTAGCGACGCAGAGAGTGATCTATCGTATTCCAAATTTAATTAGTTTTCATTTGCAGGACAAATCAAATATTTCGAAGGCTCCCTTCCTCCGTTTATCTGCAAACATTGGCCGGAATGAGCTCACTTTTTCTTGTTTCGTTGTTATCTTTTTGGGTTGATCAGGTAACTTTTATATGCTTTTCTTCAAAAATTCATATCGCGACTGATTAGATATAGGCAATAAAAAAAGTCGGAGCGCTCGAAATGAGCCTGAAATTTGGTATCAAAAAGTATCCCAGAGACATTAAAAAGATACAGTGGGGGGACCTGACCCAGTTGCAAAAAACGTACCATTTTTCATTCGGGAAGTATCAAAAATGTGGCAAAATGCTTCCCTCTCCAAGTGAAAAAACGCAGATTTCAAAAGCGCCCCGATCTTTTTGTGAGGGAAAGGGCGCGCTCTTCAAAAAGAAGTTTTTTTCACTTGGAGAGGGAAGCATTTTGCCACATTTTTAATGCTTCCCGGATTCAAAATGGTACGTTTTTTGCCACTGGATCGGGTCCGTCACTCTAATTCTTAAAAATTTTCTCTTTTTTCTGTCTCTAGGATAATTTTTGATACCAAATTACCAAGTGAGGCTCATTCTTTCTTTCTTTTTTTTTACTTTTTTTGTTGAAAAAAAGAATTGCAAACTTCAGTCGTAACTGTTTTGCAGACCTTAAAAAGTAATCCTGCAAACCAATTGTGGTTCTTTCCCCTCATTTTAATGCTAAACCGTCGGATTAGAATATGATACAAGATTAAAAAATGACTCATTTGATCTTCCAGGGCTTCATCCAGCCATCAGCACAACGCTCAAAGTACTTCTGTAAGGTTTCAACATTCCTCACGCACTTTTGCGACTTCGCCAGTGTCTGGCTTATTGTTCTTGTCAGTTTTGAACGACTGACCTTACTTTACAAGGCGACGTAAGTTTTTCGGATTTTTTTTATAATTTTGTGAGAGAAAAAAATTCAATTTGAAAATTGTAAGCCACAATTTTAAATTTTTTACATATAAATTTTAAAAAACCATAATTTTTTTAAATTGCGTTTAGATTTCGCCGATCAATGACCAATTCAATGCGTCAAGTGGGCGTTCTAATCACCATAACATTTTGTTGCAATCTATGGATTTTACTGGTCGCCGAGATTAACGAAATTGGGATTTGCGACATCAAACCGGAATATGAGCATATTTATCATGTAAGTAACAAAAAAATTATCTTTTTATTTTTTTATTTTTATTTTCCGGCTATAATTACCCAAACATATACAGTAGCTGCCAAAAAACTGTCAATTTTTTTGTTTTTTGTGTAACTCTGCTCAACGTGGACGGATTTAAACGAAACAAATACTATTCTGTAGAGAATTATTGCTGTTATCGAATGGCTTAGCGGTTAGAGCGATTTTACATCTTAGTGTGTAACAACTGTCGATGTAAATTTTTTGGAAAGACAAAAAACTGTCAATTTTTCCAAAAAAATTTTACCACTTGCACAGGTCGCGGCGAATCATGGGCTTATACATCACGATTTCTAAATAAAGTCTCTCTGTACATTATTGACCATCAAACGGAGCCAAGAAACTTAATTTAGTTGACCATTTGGTGGTCCCAAGTTCGATACCCCAAAACATGACGTTTAAGGAAAAATCGATTTTTTTCTTTGGCTTAGAATTAAGAAAATGCCTTGCAGTAGAAGCTAGACAACCTACATTTAAAATAGAACAATGATTGGGAGCCGCACTGTAAGTCTACGGACTCCACTGGATATTCAAGTTTCTCCGGTAACCGAGTGTCTGTAGAGACTTGGCCTTGTTGCCCCCGCCTTTGTAACAACTTGCTAATGTTTTATCAATACATGATCACAGATGTTCTAGAAGCATTTTATGGGCATTTGTAGGACGGCGATGCAAGTCACATAAGAATTACGGAGGGTTATGTTGTCATTAACAAAAAAATTTTTTTTGTGGAAACTTGCAAGGCAGATTAAGACTTTAGAAACATATCAGAGGGAGTGAAACTGCGTTAGAAATGTCAAGAATGGCTGTAAATCTATGGCACAATATCTTGCTTGTTCTTGCACTGGGTTACTTCTATCCTATGGAGAGTGAAAATCAAGACAACAATTTTTCTTCAAAAATTCCGTTTCGGAGTTTGTTCTTTTACACGCAAAGTACGGGCCTGCCGCGATAGCGATTCTAAACTGTTCACTGTTCACATGGGTGCCTTCTGTCGCGTTGGAACAACGACTAGAGTTGTCTACGGAAGCACCCGGGCTAAAGTTTCACGGTACATCTACTGCCAGAAAAACTTGAATGTCAAGTGGAGTCCGTAGACTTACATTGCGGCTCCCAATCATTGTTCTATTTTAATTGTAGTTTGTCTAGCTTCTACTGCAAGACATTGTCTTAATGCTAAGTCAAAGAAAAAAATCGATTTTTCCTTAAAAGTCATGTTTTGGGGTATCGAACTTGGGACCACCAAAAGGCCTACTAAATTAACTTTCTTGGCTCCCTTTGATGGTCAACAATGTACAGTGGGACTTTATTTAAAAATAAGACTATATAAGCCTATGATTTGCCGCGACGTATGCAAGCGAGAAAATTTTTTTGGAAAAATTGACAGTTTTTTGTCTTTCCAAAAAATTTACATCGACGGTTTTAACACACTAAGATGTAAAATCGCTCCAACCGCTAGGCCATTGGATAACAGCAATAATTCTCTACAGAATGGTATTTGTTTCGTTTAAATCCATCCACGTTGAGCAGATTTACACAAAAAACAAAAAAATTGACAGTTTTTTGGCAGCTACTGTAAGTATTAAGCATTAAAAGATACTCCAAAAATAGGGTTTAATTACCCAAATAGAGTTTGTTTTTACGAAAAAGTGCGGCCATTTTTTTTGGCCAAGGACCAAAAGTTCGGAGAGGCCAACTGAAATTTTTTTGCGAATTTTCGGCACAAAAGATACGTAATCATCCGGAAAATGGGCGTAAAATTACGGAAGTACAAATTTTAAAAACCCGAAAAAATTGTTACGCATAATAAATTTTTTTTGGCTGATGCTTTCAAAAAAAGCCAAGTTCATATAGTGGCGGACCTGATCCAGTGGCAATAAAGATAACATTTTGTATCGGGAAAGTGTCAAAAATGCAGCAAAATACCTCCCTCTCAAACTGAAAAAGCTCCGTTTTGAAGTGGGCGCTCTTTATGTCACAAAAACAGTGATCGCGCTTTTGAAATCGGAGTTTCTTCACTTGGAGAGGGAGGTATTTTGCCCCGTTTTTGATACTTCCTGGATACAAAATGGTATTCTTTTTGCCACTGGATCAGGTCCGCCACTGTACAGGTCATATTTTCACATTTTCTTTGCAGGCCTTCAGCTTGATGGAGACCGGGATTTGCATGATCATCCCGACCGTTCTCATCATCCTCTTTAATGTGCTCGTCATCCTGAAGCTGCGCTCACACTTCAAGAAGATCCCCGCTTCTCCGTCCGTTTCGTTCAATACGGCCGACACTGTCTACTCTACGGGCCCATCACATACGATTAAATCCATGAAAATCTCAAAGTGCGTTTTATACTACGTATTTCAATCTCCGATGGCAAAAACAAATTCCATGCCTTTAGGCTCTTAATTTCGCACATCGAAAAAAACGTCAAAAATAGAACTTTTAAAAACATTTTTCAGAGCCAGTTTGCACCATCTAAGTGTAAATGGGACAAACAACGCCGAAACGATCGCATTACGTTATAAGCGGTGTAGCCTACGGTATGCGGACCTACAGCTGACAAGGTCGCTGGTTATTGTTACAAGTGTTTTTATTTTGCTCAACTTGCCCAATTATTTGTATCGGATTGCTGTGCAGTACTTGAAGATCAGCGATCAGGTGAGGAATTCTTACTTTTCGTATATTTGCAACAAAACTGCTCTAATTTTGGCAAAATTCTTTTGAAAGAGGAGTATTCCAAGTGCATTTTCCTTAAATTTTGCTCACGCTTGTGGCAAGGCCCCCTGTATCGATCGCTGTAGAGTTTAGCTCGCCCTCTGCAAGGGCAGCCGAGATATTCAACCATATTTGCGGCTGGGAGAGTACGCGAAACTCGGAGAGGGGCGATACAGAAAAACACTTTTTAGCCCTTTCTTTGCCATTTTTGCGTGGAAAAAATATTTTTTTTGTGGAGACATTACCGTTTACGGTAGAAATGAGCATGAAACTTCTCATGCCAAAATTCGCGAAAAGTTCTCACATTTTATGCAGACTTTTCGATCTAAAAATCTCGGTTGTTCCTGAAAGGCGCAAGCTAAGAGGGTCGCATAAGTCTTACAAAAACTTATTCTACATTTGTGCCAAGTTCCATCAAAATTTGAGAGTCGCACTTGGAGCACTCTAATTCATACCATGACCATCTAACTCGCTAAATGACCATCTAACTTGCTAAAATTTCAGTCCGAGCTCATGCAACGATTCTCCTTCGCCGCTCACGTCCTCTTATACACCCATCACGCCTGCCTATTCTACATGTATATCTTCAACAGCCCGCAGATGCGTCGTCGTTTGCTGCCGACGGCGTTGAAACTGCTGGAATGTTACTGTCTAAAGCCGGTACAAGACTACTCCGAAAACGGGATAAACTACTGATCTACATATGTGCAACGACCGTTGTGTTTTACAACTAGGTAGTTGCTAGGATCTCATTTTATTTGTTGATTTGAATTTTGTAATTTTCACTGTACATTAAACATGATCTCATATCGAAATGCGGTCGGAAAGCAATAATTTGTTGGGGTAAAATCATATTCCTTACAAGGGAAGTACCAAAACACACACTTCGGACATATCCCTTTCTAAATAGAAAGTTTAGCTCGCGCTTCGTAGGTCAGCCGAGAATTTCAATGATATTTGCGGCCGAGAGAGAGTATGCGTAAAAAGGAGAGCGGCCATGAAGAAAAATAAATTTTGACCATATTGTTGCCAGTTTCGTGTAGAAAAAATAATTCATACATTACCATGCCAAAAATAGATGTGAAACCTTTCATGCCAAAACTGGCAAAAAAATGTCCCATCTCGCCCAAATGTCAACCTAAAAACCTCGGTCGTTTCTGCAAAGTGCGGGGTAGGAACCTCACAAGTGTCTCACACAAAACTAACCTCATTTTGTGCCGACTTTCATAAAACTCTGAGCGTCTCACTTGGGACAGTTCCCTTGTTAAACGTTGAGCCCCTAGCCCTTACCCTCCTAGACTACCACCGCCTTGGAAAACCACTAAACCATATTTCGACACCTCAAAGCTCACAATTCAGCAACAATAACACCCTCATACAACGAACTCACTCCCCAATCATCAATTTTTCAATCGAGTGCAATTCCTGATACGGCATGCTCTGCTTTGTTCCACTAATCACACTTCCCCATTATCTACCGTAACTCTTCTGCTTAATGTGCCTACAGTTTTCTTCCCGGTAACTCTTTCGTTTGGTGTTCGGTCTTATGTACCGTCTAGACGCCGTTCCCCCTGCAAACATCGCATTTGCCCGCACAGTAACGTTTGTAAAAACATTCGGGGAAGGATGTTTTATTTCCTCGTTGCGGAATCCATTAACGGCCACCCATGTGCTGCTTCCTCATTGAGAGTTTTTTTTTCGAAGAACCTCTTAACGGCGCTGAGGGGTATAAAAGAGAAAGCGAACGTGAGTTTTGTTCAACAGTGTGCAGAACTTGCAAACACCAAAAATCAAGCTTTTTTGGGGATTCTAAAGCTTGTAAAGTCCCTACAACTGAACTGCAAGGACGTCTAAGTCCTGCAGCTGATCAGAGACCTCCAAGTCTCTATTGCTCATTTTTAAGGCTCCAACAGCTTATTCAGCCGATTCTAACGTCTTCCCAAGGCCTCAACCAAGTTTAAACGCAGCAACAGGCGGTTGAAGTCAATAGAAGCCCTTCTATAGCCGTTTCGCCGACTCCACAACCATTTATCTGCTTGAAAAAGCAGTCTACAACCAACAATATATCCCAATTCCACTTCAATCTTCTCCATCTACAATGGCCTACACCAACCCAGCAACCAAATCTGCTCCAGCTCCCATCAACCCAATCACTGGTGTTCTCCTGGCCATCAATTGCGTTCTACTCTTTACCGGCTTTATTTGGCATTCCCTAGTCGGCTTCTGCAACTACCTTGAGTTCATCCTGATTCCCCACTCCTTCTCCACCGAAATGGAAGAGCCGTTGTTGCGGAAGATCAGCAAACTCTTGGCAGTGCACGACCATCTCAAAGACGGCTCCACCTACTCGGGCCGGCTCTCTCAACTTGTCCAGAAGGCCGAATACGAACCGCGCCGCAAGCTGGCCACCTTCCGCTCCACTCGCCGCAACATCTACGAACTCCGTGGACTTTTGGAGCTGGTTTTGCCCATGTTCAACGAGTACCCGTGGAGTCAAATGGTCCCAAATGCAGGCCTCAACATGTCCGTTCTTTGCGGACTGGTCCGCAAACTTTTGATCGAAGACGAAGGGCTTTCCTATCAACCGAAAACGGTTACAGTCGCCGTGAACGACGACTACAACCGATGGTGTGCGGTTCTGGAGGTGGAGCACTTGACGTTCGGGTTGAGCGACATGGTCGAGGAGATTTTGTTCAACTACCGTTTCCATCAAGGGCGAACCGGGAAAATGACCAAATTCGGTCGATTGCCCACCGAAATCCAATGCATGATTGTGTAAGTTAACGATTTTTGAAAGGAATTTTTCACATTTTTTTCAATATAACCAGTCCAGTGACGGATATGATCCAAGTTGTAAACAAGTCTTGTGAGAGCCTGACGGACCAGACTCAGTGGCAAAAAACGTACCATTTTGCATCCGCGAAGCATCAAAAATGTGGCAAAATACTTCCCTCTCCAAGTGAAAAAACTGAGATTTGAAAAAGGGCCCTCAGAAAAAGAGAGGCCGTGCCTTTGAAATCGGAGTTTTTTCACTTGGAGAGGGAGATATTTTGCCACATTTTTTGATACTTCCCGGATGCAAAATAGCATGTTTTTTGCAACTGAATCAGGTCCGCCACTCCAATTCAAAAAATTTTCCGGCTTTCAGAGTTGTTTACAACTTTTTCCCCTATTTTTTAAAATTAACCATTTTTCTTTCAGCGCCAAAGTCCCTGTTCCATTCAGTCAGCATTTCGTCCGTGACGACAAAAAGGACCTGCGACGGGTCTGGTACGGAGTTGAAGGGAAACGCAGCGATAAACAAGCGTTTCTGGCGAGCTTCGGCAAAATCAACAGATTCACCGAAAAAATCGCTTATAACGTCTTGAAAACGTGCTGAATTCGGTGCGAAACGGTTGTATATTTGTTGTAAAATACATATTTTTGAGCATACGGGTATAAACTATTCGAAATTTTGGTTTTGTGCTCAATGATAATATAAGAGTGAAGACAGAAGATTTCGGAGGAAAATTTTGAAAATTTTTCGAATTCACTTTTTTTTCGATTTTGGAGTAAAAATTTTTTTTACTCCCAAAAATGCCAAAAAAAAAGTAAACACGAAGTTTACTCCAAACTTTGGAAAAAATTTTGATTTTCGGGAGTAAACTGGGAGTTTACTCGCCGGGGCCGAGAAACCGAATGGCGGCGAGTAAATCTGGATTTTGCTCGCTTCCAATTATTTCCTCAGCTATCACAGAGGCACAGATGACCCAGGACGTAAGGCGGGCGCGTTAGTAAATATCAGTCTGGCCGAAAAAGAACCGGCCTCCCCGGACCCTTCCGTCGCACTCACCCCAAACCCCAATTTGCATCGCCGAGAAATTTGGAGGGCATCGCCGAAAGAAAGAGCAAAAACAACGCATCGCCAGCGATAAAAGTGGGTTTTGCACAGTGCAAATGCCCTTTTTCTGCTGTTTCGCACTGTGCAATCAACAAAATTCCCACAAATTCAGCGATCTTTCGATGTCGCGCGCCTTTTGCGATGCATCGCAAAAACATTCAATTTCGAGGTTGCGATTTCGAGGCGCGAGGGGGGCCGGTTCTTTTTCGGCCAGACTGATAATTCGCGCCAAACTTACGAAAAATTTTGCCGAATCCTGACTGGGAGCCTCCCAGTCAGGAATCCCGCGATTCCTGCAGTCAGGAACGTTTTTGACTGGGCGGCCTCAAAATCGACATCCCAGTCACCTGAGACGAAGAAACGGGGAGAAAAAACGAAGAGAGCGAGAGAAACGCGCGCTATTTCGTGCTCTCTCTGCCTCCCTGCGCCCTCTCTTCGTTTCCCGCTCTTTCGCTCTCTCTCTCCTTTTTTTGCGCTCTCTCGCTCTTTCTTTCGTAAAAGAGAGAGAGAGCGCGAAACGGAAAGAGGGCGCTGAGAGGCAGAGATAGCACGAAATAGCGCGCGTTTCTCTCGTTCTCTTCGTTTTTGCTCCCTATTTCTTCGTCCTAGTCAACAGTTATTGACCCCTCACCCAGTCAAGAATCGCGGGATTCCTGAATGGACCACAGTCAGGAAGTTTTGACTGTACGAAGAGTCAGGAACCCCGCGAATCCTGACTGGAGCCTCCCAGTCAGGAACCCCGCGAATCCTGACTGGAGCCTCCCAGTCAGGATTCGGCAAAATTTTTCAAAAGTTCGGCGCGAATTACTAACGCAAATAAAAAAATTTTTTTGCGCCCAGGGGTCAACTGTTCCCCGGGAGTAAACTCTGGATTTACTCGCCGGCACCTTCGGCGAGTAAATTCTGAGTTTACTCCAAAAAAAGGCGAAAAAAAAAGTAAACTCGGAATTCACTCCAAAAATGGAAATTTTGAAAGCTATTTCGATTCCTACTCGCCGACCCATAAAATTTCTCGATTTTTACTCTCTTTTTCAAAAAAAAGTGAATTCGAAAAATTTTCAAAATTTTCCTCCGAAATCTTCTGTCTTCACTCTTATATCGATGAAAAAATTGAAAAAAAAATTAATTTCAATATCGCAAACAAGACAAAAGTCGTTTTAAAGGTTCTTCCTTATATTTTCCAACAAAAAATCCCATTTTTATCTGATTCAGGCCCAAAAATCTAACAAACCTGATTTTTCGAACATTTTGATATTACCCATGCAAAAACTTATGCCAAAAAAATTTTTTCTGACTCCACCACTCTTTCTAAGCCCACATCAGTTAATATTTAGCCAATCTCTATCAATTCCATCCAAAAATTTTACAAAAATAAAAACTTTTTATATTATCCATGCCTATCTGCTATAAATATAAAATAATTTCTCACAAATATCACCAATTTGGTTTCCTGTTATGTTTTTCTCTCCACATATTTATTTTCCAGCCATAAAGGCTTCAATTTCTTCTACCGTACGTGGTACCTGGTTCATGCATTCATTGCCGGCGGCCAAAATGATGACGTCATCTTCGATGCGAACACCGCCGAATCCTCGGTATTCATTCAGTTTGTCCACGTTGAAGTAATGTTTGATGTCCGGGTTCTGGAGTGCTCGATCGAGCAGCTGAAAGTGTAAAAAATTGGATTTGAGTTTGTGTTACCGTAACCGTTAAGGAAGTAAGGTTAGAAGGAAAGGCAGAAAAAAACAAAAAAAGCCCTGTCACGGCCGGGAATAGGCTCGGTGACAATTTGGGAGTCGGCCGGCTGGGTTTGCCGACTCCTTTTGAGAATCTTACAATTCTCCTACCTTTTCGCGGGGGTGCTGGGGATGGCGACGTTGACTGACAACAACAACAGTTGATTTTGCGATATATTTATTGTGGGAATTTTCAGGCTTATATATTATCATCAAAAGGGCGGGATTAGCTGGAGTGTCCTAGGGCTGGGCCAAGGGGGTTGGGTCCGGCCCTAGGACACCTCATAAGTGGAATCATAAAGCAGGAGATACGGAGTGAATGATCCGTGCTTACTCAGGCGTTTGCACGGAAAGCGGTGATTAAGAGGCAGGGGAAATGAATGTTATGGCAATCAAGAATCTTCTCGGCCCAAATTAATCATCCAATCGGCCTATTGAGAGAATTCCTTTTTGCTATTTTTAGTATCGCGAGGGTGTCGCGACACTCCGGGGGAGGGAGAGGGAGGAAGAAGAGGAGGGAATTTTTGGGTTACAAAAGTTTGGAACAGGGTACAGAGATTACAAAATTTTACAATAAATTTATAGTGAGCTTATCTAATTACAATAAATTTTATAGACAGGTTATCTTATCTTTTTAGAAAGTGGGTTCCTCCGGTTCCTCTGGGCTGGTATCCGGTTGGCGGTGGCGGGAGTCGATATGTAGAGGGGCGCGGCAATTGGGGCACGTCGGGTTCTGATGTTGGTTGAGCTGGCTGGTGATCCACTCGTCTAGGCAGATCTGGTGGAAGAGATGACCGCAGTATGTGCGGGTCACTGGTCGGTCGTCCCCGGTGAGGCATATGGGGCACTGGTCCTCGTGTGCTCTGGAGGTGCTGGGCCCAGGGACGTCGCGGGGGGTTCCCAGGGCGCACAGCGAGGTGTGATGCCATTGTTTGCAGTGTAGACACGTTTTTCTGCTTGGGCATCTGATGACATCGTGTCTTCCCAAACAGTTGACGCACCGGTCGCCGATAAGTCTTCGGCGGACCGAGCGGTCAACAACGACCGTGCAGTCGAGAGGGTTATGGTCAGCCGAGTTACAGTAGGGGCACGGCTGACGGCGTGCTTTATGGGGCCTCCTCATTTCTTGCTCCAAATTGTGGCGGAGGGAGGCGGCCAGGGTTTCGGCTTCATCCAGTCTGGTCAAACTTCGCCGATGCCTTTCTTCCTCGTTTTGTAACAAGGCGCTGAGCTGATTGATCTCCTCGGTGAGCTGAGCGCCCACCTCCGCTGCGGCTAGCTGCTGGTTTCGCGAGGCCTCCCGGAGTGCTTGGATTGCCCGGTAGTGCCTCTCGTTGTCTTCTGCTAAGATGCGCCGGGTTCGGCGAGCTTCGTTCAGGGTGTCGGTGAGGGCCTGTGCCTCCTCCTCCGCCTGGTTACGGGCGGCGGCGGAGGAAGAGGCTTCGGCAGACAATTCCTCGTTGCGTTTCCGGAGTTCTTCGTTCTGTCTCAGGAGGCGCTTGGCCTCCTCCTCCGCCTGGTGTCGGGCGGCGGTGGAGGAGGAGGCCTCCGCGGTGAGCGCTTCGTTCTGCGCTCGGAGAGATTCTACCTCGCGTTGAAGTTCCTGGATTGCGTCCGACATGGCAGGATCTTGTGGTGCGGACGTAGATGGGCCGGGGATGTCGGCGAAGTTGATTATGTCTAGCAGCGGAATTGGGCGGCAGTGGCGGTGGCGTTCGATAAATTCTTCGTATTGAGCTTGGGTGAGGTCATCCAGGTATCTGCAGCTGTACTGGAAGACTTTGAAGAGTTCGGTCGCGACGGTTGGGTTGTTGGATTTATCCGGATGTAGACGGAAAGCGGCCCGCCTCCGGATGCTGGCCCATCGGGACTGTGTGCGGCTTTGGAGATTTATCAGACCTAGTGCTAGGATGGTTGAATATATGGTAAGCAGGTCTTCTTCGGAGGGGTCGAAAAGATGGCGACATTCGTCGTTTTGCTCCTTCTGTTGGTTTCTTTTTCCACTCATGTCTGGAAAGATTGGTATGAGACGACCGGCCATAGATTCCGGATTTTTTCGGGGGAGGGTGTTGTTTTTCAGCATTACAGTTCATTTGTAAGTGAACTGCTAGTGGTGACGCTCCCGCGGAGGGAAGTGTTGAGGAACCGGAGGGGATGTGGGGTTTAGGATACGAATTTTGACGACAATGGTTAGGATAAAGCAGTGGTAAAATTTTGGCAAAAGATGTGGGTTGCGTGGAAAAAACTTCTCCCGATCCATGTTTTTTTTTTTTTTTTGTGTGTCGAAAAATAGGAGTTGTGGTTTTTGCTAAGGACGAAAGGGATCGGAAGAAGGGTAAGGGACCAGTGGTTGGTTAATGGTGGTGGGGCTTAGCCCGTTTGGGCAGGAGACCACGGCTTTCGGGGAGTTGTTGGTGCGGGCGAGGGTCGAGAAAGATCGCAGGTGGGGTGGAAGGAAAATTGTAGCGGAAAAGAAAATAAAGCATGATAACGACAGTTGCCATAACAAGTAACATAAGGAGGGGATATTGGAAGATTAAAGAAGGGAAAAACCAAGCGACTTTTTCCAGAAATTGTGTAATATCGCGTAGAATGTTTCCGATCGGAACTTCATCGGCGGCTCTTGCCCACCACTGTCCAAGTTCCTTGGACGGGGGAGGAGGAATCGTCATGGTGTGAAGTTTTCCGAAAAGGTGTAGAGTTCCGTCAGATTTATCGGAGCAGGAGTAGGAACAGTTTTTGTTGAATTCAGCTTCATCGGTGTAGATGTTGAGTTGGAACGTAATGTTGTTGCAGGGAAATGATTGGACATTTGTTCCATCACAATCGACATTGATAGTCGTTGGGAATTTGGATTGGCAGAAAATGATAGCTTGTGCTCCCGAATGACAAGACTTGCATCCGGTCAATTGTTGTATCACGGAAGGTGCACACTTTGCACGATAATGAAACGTAGATATCGTTGCGTTTTGGAAGGCGATGTGAACCAGAATGGCGGTCTGTTGAGCGATTTCTGCCGTGATGGTGTGATTTTGATAGTCGATCTTTATTGGACCCGAAGTGAACGGGAGTTTTACCTCCTGGCTGTGCCATAGGTCCATAGGGTTGCGGTAGTTGCATGTGCATTTGGTGTGGAAGTCGCTGGGGCTGCATGAACAAGTTTCATGGGGGAATGTACACTGGAATCTTCTGGCATCGTCTTCTGAGCGGCATTGGAAGACCCCTAGGCTGCCCGGAGCAGGTTGTTGGGGGTCAGAGGCTGCGGTGGTGATGGCCTCGTTGGTTCCCACTTTTATAACCATAGGTTGATACAGAATCGGTACCTGCGGAGTGGATATGGCCTGTAGAGTGAAGATCTCGTCTCCGACGTGGACGGGCTTGGCGGCCACCAGTTGTATGAGGGACGTTTTGCCGCCCACTTCTAGGATTACTGACGCGGTTATAGTCCACGTGGGGCAACGTCCTATTAGGTAAATGTTGTTGGTTTTTGGTAAGGCATAGAGGCGCCAGAAGTTACATCCCGGACTGCAGAGGAAGCAGCCGCAAGTGGCGCACCCACAGGCCCGGGTACAGTGGGAGTAGCCGGGGGCCCGACGGGCTAATAGTGAAAATTCGGGGAGGTCGTCGGACGTGGAGACCTTTTCACATTGATATCCTTGACAGTACGAATTCGATGCCATATCACATCGATGGACGGATTCAACTGTAGTGGCAAAGTCTCGTGTATGGTAGCCGTATTTAAAGTTGCATTTAAACTTTAGCTGGAGGGTAGTCAAGCGGAGCATATATGATCCGTTGAGTGGGGTGGTGATTCGAAGACAGCTTGTTTCGTTGATGGGCCGTAAACTGAGTTGGATGGATTGGGAGAGGGAACAGGTCTCGACGTTGGATTCTTCATCAAAACGGCAGTTGTGAGTGCTCGCGGTTAAGGCGGTTACCTCTGAGCAACCATTAACCCACGGAAAGAGTCCGAAGAGGAGGTAAATGGTGCCTGTCGTCCGAAGAAGACGTCGAATTCGGTGTGGAGCCTGGTATCGTGGTTGCCGAGGGTTTTGTGGACGGCATCGAGTCCAGATCCATCTGGCTGTTCGCCAAATCCAAGTGTGTATGGCGAGTAGGACGCAAATGAAAGGTATCAGAGCGAGTAATACTCCCATCCAGATGAAGATTCCTGTTTTTTGGATAGCTGTGCAGCAATCCCACCTCCAAGGGGCACAGTCCTCTGCTGTACAAGGGTTGGGCAGGGAATCCGTAGCCGAAACGGTGTTAATAAGAACTACGCCTAGAAAATAGGCGACTAGTGTGGTGGAAGAAGAATTCTTTCTCGGATTCCGTCGGGGTGGCGGTGGGCTATCTTGCTGGTTGGACGTTCTTGGGATTCCTTCAGTTGCGTTTGGGATCTCGGGTTGAAGTTCGAGCGGATAGAGGTGTTTCGGGGATCGGTGGAGGACCAAATGGGGCGGTGTAGCGAGTTGAATTTGGATTTTGTTTGGAGTGACGATCTCCAAGATCTTCGCCATTTGCCACTTTCCTCTTCCGAGTCCTTCCTCATGGACAAGCACAACTTCTCCTTTCACTGGGAGTCGATCGATCGCAGATCTGTCCTGTTTGTGGGTTGTTTGATGTCGCTCGGCCAGAGTGAGGAGGTATTCCGAGCTCCAAATTTTCCAGAATTGGTTAATGATTCTTTGTTGCTTTCTCCAAAGATCCATTAACTTGGTGACCGATGACGGCTTAGGCTCGAAGGTGCCATCCTCGGGGTCCCAAGGGTCGAGGAGAGGGACTCCGATGAAGGCTCCTGGTTGGATGCAATCGATGGGTCGGATCGGGTGAAATGATTGATCATCGATTTTTGAGGGTACAAATGTCAGTGGACGGGAATTGACGATAGCTTCTACCTCGGTTAATACCGTCATCATTTCAGGCAGCGAGATCTTTTT